ACAAACTGCACTACATAACCTGAAAGAAGACACCAGCATAATAATCCTACCAGCAGAAAAGGGCAACACGACAGTGGTTATGAACACATCTGACTACCAAACCAAGTTAACCAACCTACTCCAAGTCCCCACATACAAACCCCTAAAGACAGACCCCACCACCTACCTAGAAGAAACCACCAGATCCAAAATAAAATCCTCCCCCATCAGCGAAGAAATCCAGTAAAGAATCATACCCAGAGAGAAATCATCCAGATGCCCTAAGCTTTACGGTCTCCCCAAGATACACAAAGAAGGAACCCCACTTAGACCAATAGTCAACTCCATAGGCTCACCTCTACAGAACTAGCCAAATTTCTCACCAAACAACTACAGCCCTATGCAGAATCCATCAACTCACACGTAAGAAACTCATTCCAGTTCATCGAGATCATAAAGAAACAAAACTTACAACCCAGCGACCTACTAGTGAGCTTCGATGTCATATCCCTCTTCACCCAAGTGCCTATAAAAGAAGCCTTGACAGCCATCCAAAACAAATATAACGCCCCCAAGCACATCCTAGATCTGACCAACCACTGCCTATCCAATACATACTTCACCTACAATGGACAAAAATACAAACAAATAGAAGGAGCACACATGGGATCACCCTTCTCACCTGTCATCGCAAACCTCTACATGGAACACTTTGAAACACAAGCTCTAGAAAAATATGATCACAAACCCAAACTCTGGCTCAGATATGTAGATGACACCTTCATAATCTGGCCACACGGGAAAGAAAAACTGAACAACTTCCTCACACACCTCAACAGCCTACACCCCAAAATACAATTCACCATGGAACAGAAGCTAACAATCAACTTTCCTTCCTAGATGTCTTGGTATACAAAAAATCCAATGGCTCCCTAGGACACACCATCTACCAGAAGAAAACACATACAAACCACTATCTACACGCACTCTCACACCACCACCCAGCACAGATCAATTCTGTAACCGAGACACTCATCTCCAGAACAAAATGCTTAGCTGACGAACAATACCTAAAAACCGAACTACACACTCTCACTAATGTACTAACAGCCAATGGATTCCAAAGAAAGAAGATTACCTACCTAATCCAAAAAGAAACCCCAACCAAAATCCAAGATAGAGAACAAGAGAACGGCAAAGCCCTCCTCCCATATATAAAAGGCACTACAGACAAAATCAGCAAGATCCTCCAAAAACACATTAAAACAGCATTCTGCACTAACAGAAAAATATCCACCATCCTAAGAAACCCTAAAGACAAAATCGAGTTAGAAAACCAAGGAGTATACAAAATCCCTTGCACCGCCTGCCCCACCACATACATCGGACAAACTAACAGAAGAATAAGTGCACACATTGAAGAACATAAGAACTCAATCAAAAAAGAATAACCGACCTCTTCCCTGGTCCAACACCTCAAAGCCACAGGACATGAGATTGACTTTAAAAATACCAGAACTATTGCCAAAACCGAACACTTCAACAACAGAATAATCAGAGAAGCCATAGAGATAGAAAAACGCCCATACAGCATGAATAAACGAGATGACACCTCCCACCTACCAGCCATTTGGAAACCCGCCCTCACGAACAGACGAGTACCTAACATGAAGAATGACACCAGACCCACACCCACGAGGGCCACACAAGATGCTACCACCACACTTCCATGTAGAAAGCAGACTCACACCCACACAGAAGATGAGACACGACCACGGACCAGAAGCCGCACTGCAGCTGCATCACTACCAGCTTCAAACCCCTCCAAGCCATACATGAAGCAAACTGACACCCACCATGAAGATGCGGCATGACCACGAACGCGAAGCCAAACAGCAGGATCACAGCTCACCAGCTCAAATCCCCCAGCAACAAAGACTAACCTGAGCACAACCAAGCCCCTACCTGAACAGAACACACCCCCAGCCAATCAGAACACAGCCAACCCCCCAGCCAATCAGAACACAGCCAAACCCCCAACCAATGAGAACACACCCCCACCCAATCAGAACAAAGCCAACACCCCAGCCAATCAAGTCACACCCCCACTAGCAGTTAAAAGGAAGAAGCAGCTGCAAGCTCACATTACCCTGAGAAGCACAAAGCTGAAGACACAAGCCTGAAGATGATGAATGAGACTTCATCGAAACGTCGCCTAGATACTTCCAATCTTACGCGGGAGAAAACCCGAATAACCAAAGATCCATGTGTGTGTGTGTGTGTGTGTGTGTGTGTGTGTGTGTGTGTTTTCTTAACTTTTTGCGGGTACTTACATGTATGGTATTCAGCTTTGTTCGGGTATTTTCCCACGTCATTATAGTTGTGCTTTTAAAGTTGTAGCAACGTTTCGACAGAATCTCATCTGCCATCATCAGGCTTCTGTATTGTGTTCGTCTGTGAGTCAGACTTTTGCAGTTGTTTCAGTTTTAAATTTGGGGCTAGCCTACTGCTGTGCCAGAATGGTTTTGTCTTCATCCTGATTGGTTGGGAGTCTTGGACTGTGTTTATTGGTCTTGGAGTTTGCTGTGTTCTGCTTGATTGGTGTTTCTAATATCTTCTGTCTGTTTTGTGACTTTTTTGTGTGTCTTGATTGGCTGGCAACATTGTGTTCCTGTATTGGAGGCTTTTAGAGCAGCTTGGCTCCGAGTAAATGGACGGCTATCATTTGTTAGGAAGCTAGGTTTCATCTGGGTGCCTGGTTGGGATGTGTTTGAGCTGGAGGTATCGGGGGGATCTGTTTGTGCCCAGGTGTTTGCCTGGCTTGTGGTGTGGAGATTTTTTTGTTTGTGAGTGCAGGCTTCCAAATAATTGACAGTCTGGTGGAATCATCTCTTCTATTCATGCTTTTAGGTCTTTTTTCAATCTCTGTGGCTTCTCTGATAGTCTTGATATGATGCCCATGTAGTATCTTGCTGATTTTCTCTGTAGTGCCTCTTATGTAGGGCAGGACAGCTGTTCCATAGGTCTGTTCATCTTCTAGGTCTCCATTATGTCTCAGTGTGTTTTTGTGGATCAAACCGGTGATTTTGCTTTTGTGGAAGCCGTTGGCTGTCAGTACTTTAGTCAGGGTGCATAGTTCAGTCTTTATGTGTGTCTTGTCTGCCAGGCGTTTGGCTCTAGCAATTAGTGTTGTGGCCACGGAGTTTATCTGTGCTGGGTGGTGGTGGGATTGGGCGTTGAGGTAGCGGTTGGTGTGTGTTTTCTTCTGGTATATGGTGTGTCCTAGTGTGCCATCTGTTTTTTTGTAGATTAGTACATCTAGGAATGGTAGTTGTTTGTTTGTTTCCGTTTCCATGATGAACTTGATTTTGGGGTGTGTGCTGTTTAGGTGTGTTAGGAAATTGTTGAGGTTTTCTTTTCCATGGGGCCAAATCACAAATGTGTCATCGATGTATCTTAACCATAGTTTGGGTTTGTGGGTGGCATTAGCCAGGGCTCTGGATTCAAATTCTTCCATGAACAGGTTTGCAATGACGAGTGACAGTGGTGATCGCATAGGGGCTCCTTCAATTTGCTTGTATCTTTGTCCTTTGTATATGAAATATGTGTTGGTTAAGCAGTGTTCTGTTAGTTCCATGAGGTGTTTAGCTGGTTGGTATTTATTTTTGATGATTTCAAGAGTTTCTTTTATTGGGACTTGAGTGAATAGTGAAACCACGTCGAAACTTACAAGCAGATCTTCTTGTTCGACGTGTAGATCTTTGATCATTTCCAAGAAGTGGTATGAGTTTTGTACATGTGAAGCTGCTGTTTCAGCATGGGGCTGTAGCTGTTTTGCTAAGTGTTTAGCTAGGCTTTGTAGTGGTGCTCCTCTGGAGCTGACTATGGGTCTGAGAGGTATGCCTTCTTTGTGTATTTTTGGGAGGCCGTATAGTTTGGGGCATCTGGAAGATTTTTCTCTTGGGATGATTGTCTGTTGGATCTCTTTGCTCATGTGGCTGGTTATAATTTTCTTCTTGGTTAATTTTTCCAGATATGTGGTTGGGTCCGTGTTTATGGGTTTGTATGTGGAGTCTTGGAGTAGGTCTGTCAATTTTGTTTCGTAGTCTTTTCTATCCATTACTACTGTGGCATTCCCTTTGTCTGCTGGAAGTATGATTATGCTGCTATCCTTTTTTAGGGCTTGCAGTGCTTTTAGTTCTTCTTTGTGCAAGTTGCTTTTGGGTGGTTTGCTTGTGCATAGGATGTTAGTAACTTGGTGTCTTATTCTATCAGCTTCATCTGTATTTAATTTAGTTAGGCTGGATTCTACTGCACATATGATGGATTCTGTGGGGATTTTTTGGGGTGCTATAGCATAATTGAATCCTTTGGTTAGGACATTTGTTTCTGTTTTGGTGAGTTCTCTGTTGGAAATGTTATATACTAATTGTTTCAGGTGTTGTTGTGAGTTGTTGGGGGCTTTCTTGTCATGTTCTAATTTCTTTAGTTTCTTCAAGAGTTTGTCATTTTTGTAAGTGGTTTCAGTTTCAGCTCTCCAAGTTGTAAGTTGTTTTATCTTGTCCCAAAGTAGAGCAAGCAAACCAGACCTCCCTACAATGCCTGGGCATGCTCCCGATAAGGTGGCGGATGGTCTCCTGAGGGATCTCCTCCCACACCTGGACTAAAGCATCCCCCAATTCCTGGACAGTCTATGGTGCAACGTGGCGTCGGTGGGTTGAGCGAGACATGATGTCCAGATGTGCTCAATTGGATTCAGGTCTGGGGAATGGGTGGACCAGTCCATAGCATCAATGCCTTCATCTTGCAGGAACTGCTGACACACTCCAGCCACGTGAGGTCTAGCATTGTCTTGCATTAGGAGGAACCCAGGGCCAACCGCACCAGCATATGGTCTCACAAGGGGTCTGAGGATCTCATCTCGGTACCTAATGGCAGTCAGGCTACCTCTGGTGAGCACATGGAGGTCTGTATGGCCCACTAAAGAAATGCCACCCCACACCATTACTGACCCACTGCCAAAACGGTCATGCTGGAGGATGTTGCAGGCAGCAGAACATTCTCCACGGTGTCTCTAGACTCTGTCATGTCTGTCACATGTGCTCAGTGTGAACCTGCTTTCATCTGTGAAGAGCACAGGGCACCAGTGGCGAATTTGCCAATCTTGGTGTTCTCTGGCAAATGCCAAACGTCCTGCACTGTGTTGGGTTGTAAGCACAACCCCCACCTGTGGACGTCGGGCTCTCATACCACCCTCATGGAGTCTGTTTCTGACCATTTGAGCAGCCACATGCACATTTGTGGCCCGCTGGAGGTCATTTTGCAGGGCTCTGGCAGTGCTCCTCCTGTCCCTCCTTGCACAAAGGTGGAGGTAGCGATCCTGATGCTGGGTTGTTGCCCTCCTACGGCCTCCTCCACGTCTCCTGATGTACTGGCCTGTCTCCTGGTAGCGCCTCCATGCTCTGGACACTACGCTGACAGACACAGCAAACCTTCTTGCCACAGCTCGCATTGATGTGCCATCCTGGATGAACTGCACTACCTGAGCCACTTGTGTGGGTTTTAGACTCCGTCCCATGCTACCACTAGAGTGAAAGCACCACCAGCATTCAAAAGTGACCAAACCATCAGCCAGAAAGCATAGGAACTGAGAAGTGGTCTGTGGTCAGCACCTGCAGAACCACTCCTTTATTGGGGATGTCTTGCTAACTGCCTATGCTTTCCACCTCTTGTCTATTCCATTTGCACAACAGCATGTGAAATTGATTGTCAATCAGTGTTGCTACCTAAGTGGACAGTTTGATTTCACAGAAGTGTGCTTGACTTGGAGTTACATTGTGTTGTTTAAGTGTTCCCTTTATTTTTTTTTGAGCAGTGTATATTTATCCAACCACACAAAGGGAAAGGAAAAATATTCTGTCAAACAAATGCAAAATGAATTCTGGACTCAGCAGCTGCTTTGTGATGCCCATATAGCAATGCTGTTGGGGTTCTTTTTTTGTGTGTGGCTATTATAGAAACCACAATATTTAAATATAAATAAGTCCATGAAAGCAAAACAATGGTTTTTTTCCCTCCTGAGTCATGTAAGTAACATTTCCTGAAATCATACTTTTTAATTTTAAATAATTATCTTAAGAAGCTTTTATTCAGACTTTTAAGTTTAAAATTGAAAGATCAATCTTCTGCTTAAGATGCCTTGAATATAACAGTATGTAATTATACTCTTCAATGTTTAAAAAGCTGAATATCAAACTTCTACAGAAACACTCAAGATTTGTCATTATTTACATTAGTTGGCTCTTCAAAAAAGATTTCATTCCATGTAGTAAATGCAAAAATCTATTGCTGTAAATCTCTTAGTTTCTATACTTTTACAGCTACAATATTCAAGCAATAAATTTTGAAGCAGTTTTTATTAAATCATCTAAATACATTGACAGAGTAGACAAAGGCCTAAACACCCCTTTGCTGCCACCAAAAAGAAGAAAAAATGTTGATGTATTGATAAAAAGCTAGTTCCTTTGAAACATGAATTGCAAGAAGATTCTTATATAGAATATAACCAGCAAGGTCAAAGTGTAAAAATCCTATCAAAAACAGCCATTGATGTTCATGCGCCTACCTTGATTCTGCTGTTTCCGCTTTCCATTATGCTATATTGCAACTCAAATCTCCTTTCTCCATAGAAAGCAGAAAAAAAGCCACTAGAGCTTGAACTGCATTAAAACTTAAATCCTTGCCATTTGAGAGGTAATATGATTTAAATCATATTGAAAGGACCTAATGGTAAAGACTGCAATGACGACACTATTAAAGCCAACCTCTTTAACACTTTCTTTGGCTCAGTATTTGTAAACAGCAATGGATCATGCCCAGTATTCCCTAGTCAAACCACAGACAACTACAATGACCTAATACATATCGATTTTACAGAAGACAATGTTGAAAAAGCACTACGCAATCTAAAACCATCTCTATCTATTGGACTGGACAGAATATGTGCCTACTTCTTAAAAAAAAACTATCCAGTGCCATAGCAGAACCTCTAAGCATAATCTTTGAAAAATCGTTCAGGACCAGCTCCTTGCCAAAACTATGGTCACAAGCCACGGTCATCCCCATCTTCAAAAAGGGAGACCCCAGCCTAGTTAAAAATTACAGACCAATCTCTTTATTCTGCATCACCTGTAAAGTCATGGAATCAATTATTAACCAATCTATCATCCTCCACTTAGAGACAAACAACCTATTCTCGAATAAACAATTTTGTTTCAGGAAAAAAACTATCATGTATGCAGCTCTTACACTGCAAAAACATATGGACTACATAACTCGATCAGGGCAAAGCAATAGACGCAATCTACATAGACTTCTGTAAAGCCTTTGATTCAGTGGTACACAACAAACTACTCCTAAAACTAAAATCTTACAGTATCTCTGGACACCTGCATAACTGGATAGAAGCATTCCTGTCAAACAGACAACAAATGATCAAAATTGGGAGCGTCCTATCAAATTCTGTACCTGTCAATAGTGGTGTCCCCCAAGGCAACGTTCTAGGACCAATTCTTTTCATACTTTATATAAATGACCTCTGTGATCATATCAAGAGCAACTGCATTCTCTTCTCTGATGATGTAAAGCTATTCAACAGCACTGACAATACTGCTACCCTTCAAAAAGACTTCGACTATGTATCAGAATGGTCAAACAAATGGCAACTTCAAATCTCAACAAATAAATGCTCTGTCCTACATATTGGCAAAAAAATCAGAAAATAAAATAAAGGATGAATAGTCAAGACCTTGTTGATGATCCAAACTCTGTCAAGGATCTTGGAGTACTCATCTCTAATGATCTAAGTGCTAGAGCCCACTGTAACTACATAGCCAAAAAGGCATTAAGAGTTGTTAACCTAATCTTACGTAGCTTTTTCTCTGGTAATATTACACTACTAACTAGAGCATACAAAACATTTGCTAGACCAATAGCTCATCAGTCTGGAACATTATGTATCTGATATTAACACGGTTGAGAAAGTCCAGAAATATTCCACAAGAAGAGTTCTCCACTCCTCTACTCATTGCAGAATACCTTATGCCACCAGACTTGAAATTCTAGACCTAGAAAACCTAGAACCACACTGCCTTCGGTCCGATCTAAGTACAGTATATAAAATCATACATTGCAATGTCCTACCTGTCAGTGAATACTTCAGCTTCAACCATAACAATACTAGAGCAAACAATAGATACAAACTCAAGGTAAACCGCACCAAACTTGATTGAAGGAAATACAACTTCCATACTGATGATATTGCTCAA